AGAAAAATTACTGTATGCAGTAATAAGGCAAACATTAAAAATCTTAATTACATTATTATGATCATTTTCTTTGGTTGAATAATAAATTATTGTAATTAATTATATCATAAAAGTGTTTTAATTTGGGGTCCTGCAAGAAAAAAGTAGGAAAGAGTAGAGTAATGTTTGTAAAATTATTTAAATAATCTTAATAAATTATTAATATTTTTTATGTTTCAAAATAATGATCCTTTTTAACTTTTTTTCTCAGATTAAGGATTTTAGAATAATAATTGTATTTATTTATAATATCCATAAAAAAGAAATAAAAGATAAAGAGAGATTTTTTGTGATTAGGTAATTAATTAAAGTAAATAGATAATGATAGGGTTAATATTTTTCTAACTTAAAAAAAAAAGATAATTAATTTGGGACAAATTCAAAGTCAAAAATAATAATTATTTTGAAATAAAAGAGTAATATTTTAATCTTTTTAAGTCTTTTTATAGATATTCCTATGTATACCTTCTTCTTTTTTATAAGTCAATTTAAAAATCTGCATTTCCTAATTATATAATTGAAATACTCTCAAAATATTTCAATCACCCTTAATTAAGGTAGGTAATATATAAACTCTAATTTGGAATATATACTTGGACAACCCAAAAGTATAGAATTTAAACTTCCCTAGTTTTCTTTCTTTTCTTTTCTTTTTTTTATTTTTTTTTATAGTCCTAGATTCACACTAAAATACTTGAACTTATGAAACCCACAACAATTATTTTTTATTATATACTATTTTTAATATATTTGATGATGAGTTATATAAAAAATAATAATTTTTTTTCTTTGTTTAAATTCCTTTTCACCTAACTCAAAATTTAAATCTAAGATTTCTTACTTGAAATCTTATACTTTTAATTAGTTAACCCCTCTCTTGAGAGCATTTTTTATTATACACTAATGACCGTTAAATCTTGTCCATGAGAAAAACAATAGTTTAGAAACATGAATATGAACTTGAACGTGTAACTGTAAAGAGTAATTGACTGAATTGTGGAATGAGATTGTATTAATTACCCCAAGTTTGGGGCTGCAAAATCTTGCAGAATGGTGGTGTCTTTTAACTGAGACTGAAAAACAAATGGGTGTTCCATATCTGTTTGAGCAATGGGCAATCATCTGCTGGAATATATGGAAGGCAAGGAATAAGATACATTTTGAAAAGGCTACATTTAATCCTGAACATATTTTGTTCAAAGCTAATGCAATGCTTCAGGAATTTTGCTCATGTCCTGGTAGAGACTTACTCATGCCTCCAAAGCAGACAATGCAAAGAAAACACGTTACCTCTGCTTGGATTCGTCCTCCACCAGGCTTTTTGAAATTTAATGTTGACGCCTCCTTCATGCCTAACTCCGGGTTGACGGCATTGGCCATGGTGGGCAGAGACTCTTACGGGAAGATACTTACTGGACGAACGTGGTTATGCTCTACTGCCTCCTCTCTTATGGCTGAAGCAAATGCATTACTGAGGGCTGTCCAATCAGCAGCGGACATGGGACTGGACCAAGTGATTTTCGAATCCGATAATGAGACCTTGATCTCATACGCACAACATGCAAACCAACCCCTTCCTTGGGAGATCCACTCCATCATTCACAACATCAGAAGCTTTTGTTCTTCTCGGCCTAATTTCTCCTTTTCTTTTATCCCTCGTGCAGGAAATAGAGTAGCTGATTGGATTGCAAGATCAACTCTCAAGGGACAGTGCCCATTTTACTGGGCTCATTGCCCCCCTGATATTTTGCTGCAATTACTACTTACTGATGCTGTATCTTAAACTCCTTCCTGTAATCT